GCACAACTAAAATTTGAAGAAGAAGGAGGAGTGAAGAAATTGAGGAGTGAAGATTTTGAGCTCTCCGTAAGCTTTTAAGCTTTAAAACGCAATTTAGTTTGATTTTACACACTAAAGATTTTATATGGAAACGGAAGCGTTTTGGTGACATAGAAGCGTAAAATCGTAAGTTTTTAAGTTTTAAATCGCGATTTTGACTGCATTGGTTATACTAGTATGCGGTTGTCGATTTTCTTATCAATTAAACACTAATCTATTAGTAGGCTAGCAGTTAACCATTAAACTAAATAAAGCTAACTGAAACCGAACCTATAAGAAATTATTGGTTAGCAGGTACCCGTCATTATCGCTTATGTTATAGAGTTAAACTGGTAACCGACTATCAGTTTACCACCCATAACCGTTGGGTGTTGACTTAAATGATGTATTTTAGTATAAGTATTTAGTATTTCAATTAGAATGTTCTATTTGTTTCAATATGAATATAGATTGTAACTAGATTGTCTTGAATATATTTTATATATGCTTAAATTCATTTAATGTTAATGACTTTTCACATTTCTACATATTTTGTTAAACCGACATGAACCGCATAAACTTGTTGTAACCCTATTAAAATCATACCACTTTCTAAATTGGTCCAATGAATAATCGCTTTGACAAGCTTGGTCAATAAGACAATAGCATATTGATGACTCGATATTTGCACATGTTTTCCCCTATGTTTCTTGATCGTTTAAGCTTGCATTATCGCTTCTTTAGCCTTCTTGCGCTAGGTTGTGTTCCTTTGTCACATTTCAGGTCCTAGCACATAAAGTGAAGCATAGGAGCAAGTTTCAAGTCAATCAGAGATCAATTGGCGACTCGGGGGAAGAAACTCGGGCATGAATTGAAGAAGAGTGGATTTATACCTCATTTTGTGACCATATGATCATGTAATCTTGTCATGAGAAGAAAGAGGACGAGACATCGATCGTCTGGGATCAAACGGCACCTGATTTTGAGTCTGAAAGAGGGAGAAACAAAGAATCAAAGAAAGGGGACCCGGAATTGTGAAATACCCTGTCAAAATAGCCAATAGGGTATTTTGAACATCTAATAGGGTATTTTTGGCAGAATAAGAAGGCCGCCCGGCCGTGAACCAAAAATACCCGATCAAGTACCAAAAATACCCGACCGAGTATTTTCCCTTTTGCCCAGAAAAGTGACCCGGTGCATTTTGTTGAAACTCGGCCGGTTCCCTAAATACGAACGGTTATTTGGATCGCGTTTCGCAAAGGCAGACTGTTAAAAGGCTGTTTTGTGCATTTTTTGAGGGAGAGAGTTGGGTTTGGTTCCCAACACCCAAGGGACGAAGCAAAAAGAGAGAGCGATTTGAGGGCAATCTTGGAGTGGAATTGGAGGATTTCTTCGCCTTTGAAGCTCAAGGAACAAGCCCGGACTTGAAGACTGATCATCTGAAGATTCTTACTGCAGTCTCTCTCTTCTCTATGGAGTAACTTCCCTTCACTTAGGTTTTTACGAACCCTAGCTATGTTTGTTTGATTGGATGATTGTATTTGTATGAGTTATCCTACTTGATAATCTTGAGTTCATATTCAATCTATGCATGTTTTCATGAGTCAATTCTGGCTTAGTCGAAATTATTGATTCTGCTTTGATCCTATGAGAGCGAATACCTGATTAGGTCAATAGAGCACCATAGATTGATAGTATTGGATCGATTGCTTTAGTTGAGGGTTGATTCACTGCTTTGTATGGATTGAGAACCTCATTCGATAGAGGGAATCTAGTTCAAAATGCATTGATCGGTTGTTCTAGAGAAGGATACGTCCCTCTAGGCAATTGACTCAAGAGGGCCTTGGTCCTTTAGTCGAGGCTCAAGGTCTAGTTAAGGATTCTACGCATTGTGAATGAAAGTGAAACAGGTTAGAGATCATCAATCATTAATCTGGCTAGTGGCTTCACACCTAAGTGAGTTCCCAACCTGTAATTAGATTAACTTTAACTGTAGTTTGTTAGAGTAGTAATAGTTTTTCTATTTTAATCTGGTTTGCTAGATAATGAACCGAAGCTGAGTAATAGTAACTCTAGAGACCCGTGGATTCGATATTTATTACTTGTGTCACTATAATGCAGTCCCTTTCATTGGTTACACTTGGCCATTGTTAGGAGTTGTGTCGTAGCGAGTCAAGTTTTTGGCGCCGTCAATGAGAACCTCAACTTCAAAGAGGTTTTGGGGTGGACCGAAACTTAGGAGCTATCGTCCGGCTCACGACGTGAAAGAAGCACTTGTTGGGAGGCAACCAAACCAGTCGGTTTGTATTTCTTTCCCTATTTCTCTTCGGTTGAGTCGGTTTGTTCTTTGATTTTAGAGTCAATAACTCAACCTTTGTGAGATTTTGTGTGGTGTTTGTGTTCCGACCACTCTCTCCTCCTGGAATGCACTGCCTACCCCATCCACCATTATTCACACTTGAGATGGTAACTTCGTTCTACCCTTCTTATCTTTCCTCCATTGAGGATAATGTCGTGCTTAACTGTGTGTGTGTATGGGGGGGGGTGTTCCATTATGTTTGTGTGCGAATGATTGGTTGTATGTGTGTGCTTGGAGACTAGTCCACTGTCCAAATTTTACGATTTGAGGGCTCCAAGTACGTGTCCCTTGCAAATGCCTACTCAGTATGCTTTGAGTTGACAGTTTATATAGCAATATGCAACCTAGGGAGGTAGTGTAGCACTATGGAGGATGTTGATGCATTAAAAGTCTCATTTCTTCTTCATATTGTTGGTTGATAGTGTGAATTAGTGATCTTAGGACACTTGAATCGTGTGGTATCGTGGACTCTTTACCTGTCATGGACTCCTGTATCATGTTTTAAAAAAGGTGCTCTAAACTGTGCTTTTAAAACAATGTCTCCCGTGTGGGAATCGGTGAAAGTGTGTAAGGGGAGATGAGAATCCGTTCGCAACTTCCACCTACTACCTCCACCCCCCTTACATTTCTTTCCCCCGCACGAGGCTTGAGACATCTGCTCCCGGCATGGCCGGTAAGAGCTGGTCTCCCTCAAAACCTTTGCTAGGTGGGAGCCCTGTTTTATGGAAATAACAGGTTGGAACCCTTGCAAAGAAAAAAAAAAGAAGCAAGAAATGAAAAGAAAAGAAAGAAAGAAATAAAGAAATAAAGGGGGTCCAACCATCTTTAAAGGAAAAAAAAATAGAGCACCTAAAAAAGTGAGTCCATGATCTTTATGTTTTTGAGAGTCTTTGTAATCACAGATCATTTTTCCTACGATCACTCCTCGGCATGATCCCGACTAGGGACTAGAGTTCTCGCTGAAGAAGCTAGGAGGTGCCTTGTGCGTTGGTTGACCTCGTAAGCTAGTAAACGATCTAGGAAGTCCACTTCCGACGACCGGCGTTGCTTGCTGCTGTAGAGGTCTGGAGAGTTGCATTGGTTTGAGTTAGGTTTGCTTGGGCACAAGCAAACCGTTAAGTGTGGGGGGATTTGATGACTCGATATTTGCACATGTTTTCCCCTTTGTTTCTTGATCGTTTAAGCTTTAATTGTCGCTTCTTTGGCCTATTTTACGCTAGGCTGTGTTCTTTTGTCACATTTCAGGTCCTAGCACATAAAGTGAAGCCTAGGCGCAAGTTTCAAGTCAATCGGAAATTAGGGGAAGAAACTCGGGCACGACTTGAAGAAGAGTGGATTTATACCTCAATTTGTAACCATAGAATCATGTAATCTTGTCATGAGAAGAAAGAGGACGAGACCTCGAGCGTCTGGGATCAAACGACACCTGATTTGGAGTCTGAACGAGGGAGATACGAAGAATCAAAGAAAGGGGACCCGGAATTGTGAAATATCCTGTCAAAATACCCAATAGGGTATTTTGAACATCTAATAGGGTATTTTTGGCAGAATAAGAAGGCCGCCCGGCCGTGAACCAAAAATACCCGATCAAGTACCAAAAGTACCCGACCGAGTATTTTCCCTTTTGCCCAGAAAAGTGACCCGGTGCATTTTGTTGAAACCCGGCAGGTTCCCTAAATACGAACGGTTATTTGGGTCGGATTTCGCAAAGGCAGACTGTTAAAAGCCTGTTTTGTGCGTTTTTGGAGGGAGAGAGTTGGGTTTGGTTCCCAACACCCAAGGGACGAAGCAAAAAGAGAGAGAGAGCGATTTGAGGGCAATCTTGGAGTGGAATTGGAGGATTTCTTCGCCTTTGAAGCTCAAGGAACAAGCCCGGACTTGAAGACTGATCATCTGAAGATTCTTACTGCAGTCTCTCTCTTCTCTATGGAGTAACTTCCCTTCACTTAGGTTTTTACGAACCCTAGCTATGTTTGTTTGATTGAATGATTGTATTTGTATGAGTAATCCTACTTGATAATCTTGAGTTCATATTCAATCTATGCATGTTTTCATGAGTCAATTCTGGCTTAGTCGAAATTATTGATTCTGCTTTGATCCTATGAGAGCGAATACCTGATTAGGTCAATAGAGCACCATAGATTGATAGTATTGGATCGATTGCTTTAGTTGAGGGTTAATTCACTACTTTGTATCGATTGAGAACCTCATTCGATAGAGGGAATCTAGTTCAGAACGCCTTGATCGGTTGTTCTAGAGAAGGATACGTCCCTCTAGCCAATTGACACAAGAGGGCCTTGTTCCTTTTCTTTTTAATAACCGGCACATATGAACTCTAGAATCACATATATGATAATGGTGTATAAGACTATACCAAGACTCTCAATTCTTACAATTACTAGATCAATGAATTTCCTCTTTTGTGAAATTACAATCTTCATATGCACCTCGTCCCTCTTTCTCCCTCCCAAACTCAAAATCTTAAACATAATAAAAGAACGGTTTTTTTACGAAAATAAAAAAAAACTAATTCATACAAATAATCAAAAAAATGTTTGAGCTAGTAATGCTTTGTAATAAACTCAAAAATCAAATATAAAGAGAATATCTGACAAGTAAATCCAAACAAATAACATGTGTAACAATTAAACCTTAAATCCCAGAACAATAACATGCGTAACATGTAGATGTAATCAACATCCAAGGGTGGAGCTACATTAGCCCTCGGAAGATCCCTGTCCACTCCGAAAAATATTGGAAGTTATGTATAAATGGTTTGGGATAAAACATATAAAATTAAGTGAGTTTGTAAAATAATCAGAGTGCAAATTTCTTTTTTGATGAATCAGTAAATTCTATTTCTTACTAGCAACAATATGGTTAGTGGAGGTTCAAATAGGGGCATTGTTCGTATACCACACCTAATAGCAACAACTACATAAACAAACTAAAAGAGTATGGAATCAAGCATTGTTAATCTATTACAACACCAGAGAAAGGCAATTCAATTTTCTTCAAACTAGCATAAGCTCTATACCTCAGGAACTCCAACAAAGTCGTTCAATTTCAGTCTTAATGATCTTCAGTAAGGCACTTGCATCTCGACAACACCTGCATAAATTCTGTAGCAGCTCTCACTTCCTATTAAAACTTCATGATTATTCTTTTCCAAGGCTACTTATAGCCCAAATCAGGTCACCATCTCATAGTTGCCGAGTAGCATGACTAGTATATCTCCCCAATAGACGTCCAAACAAATTTTTCTAGAAGTGGCAAGCAGGGAATAGATGATTTGTAGCTTCCTGCCCATTCTTGTAGAGTACACACCTCATCGAACCTAAATATCTCCAGTTCAACATTTAATCCCTTGTGTAAATACCTCCAAGCCAAAAAACTATTACAAGGAATAGAGGCACCTTTCCATTAAATTTAGGGTTAATATTTTCGTATGGCCTGAACTTTGACAATAATAAATATCATGGCCAATCTTTTCGATCTATAACATCCTGGCCCGAATTATACATCAAAATAAACAATTTGGCCAGATCCGACTTTTGACCGTTAACTTGGACGGTCAAACGCGTTGACTAATGGTCAACGCGCCATGTCACTGCCAACTCAACAAGTTTCAATTAATTTTTTTTTTAATTTACACCATTTTCATTTTCTATCCTAAATCATTTTGACAAAAAAAAAATCAATTTTGGGCCAAACCTTTCTGCAAGTTAACGATGGAAAATCCCAATTCGTATATTCACTCCAACATCGTCGGATTGGTGACCTTACTCGAGATCTGCAAATCGGCAGAAACCCAGCCCGCCGTCGTCTGGGCGTCGTCGAGCTCCGTCTACAGGCTCAACGAGAAATCCCCCTTTTCCGAATCGGACGGAACCAACCAGCCGGCGAGCCTCTACGCTGCTACAAAAAAATTCGGAGAAGAAATCACCCACACCTACAACCACATCTACGGATTATCCATCACCGGGATGAGATTCTTCACGGTTTACGGACCTTGGGGCCGACCCGGCATGGCATACTTCTCCTTCACCAAGAACATTTTGCAGGGGAAGCTGATTACCGTCTACTGGGGGGAAATCGGGATGATTTGGCCCGGGATTTCACCTACATCGACGACGTCATGAAAGGGTGTTTGGGCTCGCTGGAGACCGAAGGGAAGAGTACCGGTTCGGGCGGGACAAATCTTTTCGTTTTCACAGATCTCCTCGACATGTCTCTTTCTGCAAACCTTCGACGACGACGGAGGCGCTGGGCTATTCTGTCCTTCTCTACAACAACGTTGGCGGTCGGAGCGATGGAAGAAGAGATGAGAGGAGACGAGACGAAGAAGGTGAAGAATGAGGTTAGGGCAGGGGCTGTTGGGGATATTCCCCAAATTGAATAAAAAATTTCGTTCAAAATTATTAAGGAAAGAAAATGGAAATAGGTGTGAATTAAAAAATAATAATTGAAACTTGCTGAGTTGGCTGTGACATGGCGCGTTGACCGTTAGTCAACGTGTTTGACCGTCCAAGTTGACGGTCAAAAGTCGGATCTGGCCAAATTGTTTATTTTTATGTATAGTTCGGGCCAGGATGTTATAGATCGAAAAGATTGGCCAGGATGTTTATTTTGGTCAAAATTCAGGCCATACGAAAATATTAACCCTTTAATTTATGACCAAAAGTCCTTTGGTTTCCTTGGTCTAACCACTTCCCATGTTTTCTTTTAATAGAGTAAGTATTCATTGGACGGGAATTTTGATGAACCACTCCCTCAATCACATAAAAGAATACCACATTCCTCATTTTTAATATTTTTCTCCAGTTCTAGGTCCGAAATTTGTTCTCCTCCTTTTGGAGACCCCTCAAAAACACACATTTTCTAGGATTTGATTTCAGACCTGAGAGGGTTTTAAATTGTGTCAACACCCTTTGTATATTTTAAAAGCCATGGTTAGAAGCAACAATGAACACAAAGAGATCATCGACAAAGCAAAGATGTGTTATTTTGGGTTTTTTTTACACATAAGGTGAAAAGAGAACACTCCTTCCTTTTCTATTCTATACAGTAAATAGGAGAAGACCTTCGTAGACAAGTATGAAGAAAGAGGGTCCCCTTGTCTAAATTTTTTCCATCTACGAAATACCTTATAGACCCTCCATTGAAACATACACTCATCATAGGGATCCTTGCACAGATTCTAATCTAGTCTATGAACAAGACAGGGAAACCCAGATTCTTCAAATAAATTTTCAAAATTTAAAAAAAAACTAATGCTAGGGTTTTGGGGGTTAAACCCCTAGTACCTCAGAGAAAGAGAACTACCTCATAAAGGGGGGAAGAAGATACATAGGAAGAATTTGAAGAAGACTTAAGTTGGGGGAGATCTCCCTTGCTTCTTGGCTCCTCCTCCTTCTTCTCTTCTTCTAATTCCTTCAACTTCTCTCTTTAACATCTAAGTCAAAAACCAGAACTTTTCAAGTGATTTCAGCTCTCAAATAAAGGGGAGTGGATCCCCTATTTATAGAGATAAGGTAGTGGACCAAGCTCACGGCTGGACAGGTAAAGATCGCAGGCGTGATATTTGGAAGAGAGGTCGCAATCTTAAGGGTCGCTATTTTACGGCTTGCTGGATGTGGAGTTCGAGGCCTAACATCATGGTCACAATCTGAGATGTCACAACCGTGAACTTTATCTCTGATCCTCCTTTGGTGGCTACTCCTGAAGTTCTTGCCCTTGGCTCCAGATTTTGTGGTTGTCATCTCGGCACCGAAGGCCTCGATCTCGGTGCTCTAGTTAGCGCTCTCTCTCTTTATGGTCTTGATCTCCTTGCTCCCGGCCGTGATCTCTCATTTATGCATATAATCCTACACTTGTGACCCCTTTTTGTACCTAAAGCGTTCATATAATCTAAAATACCCTAATATAACAATATTATCTTCGAGGAATGAATTAAGGATGTGTTTGATGACATATCAACCAATGAGACCACGAAATGACTCAAAGTCAGCTTAAATATAGAGGCTAAATAACACTATTTTGGGTGTTATCATGTATGCCCTAACTTTGACCTAAAAGGAATTTTCTCTCTCCTAGGTCAAGAACAACCAAAGATTACTCATACTAAAGTTAGAGATTAATATGAATAAACATCAATTAGACATAGATATATAGGTTAAAAATCATTCTTACATATTGACTCATAACAATCTACAAGTTAGGGTTCATCTTCTTAAACAACAAGAGAAGCTAAAACATATATATTTAGAGAGAGAGAGAGAGAAGAGAGAGAAATAGAAAGAGTGTGCAAATGGGAAGAAAATGATAAACCTATGGCTAGATCTTTCTTCTCCTTCTTGCTTTGATCACCCTTCTTGAATCTTGGGAGGTTTTGGAGTTAGGATGAAGAAGAAATCACCCAAAAACTCTCCAAGCTCGTAACTCTCACTCTACATCTTCTCATACTATGTTTTTCTCTCTCGTGGTCGTGAACTTTGACAAGAGGTTGTAAAATTTGGATGTGAAGGGGAAGTTCGTAGCATTGGTGCAGAGTTCACGGCCGTGAAATTTGAAAGGAGATCACGAACTTTTGGGGGAAGTTTGCAGCCGCGATCTTTCTGACGCGCCCGTGAACTTTTCTCGCGGTCTAGCTTGTTGTGGTCGCGTGCCGGGTTTTTAAACTTTCTATACTCATCATGGACCCCTCTTAGAGTTTGAAGGCATGGGGAGAAGTTCTCTACCGTGAACTTTGGCAGGCTTTTCTTTCCACCTACTTTTCATCCCTCAAATGACCTTCGATTCGCACGAAACTTGGCGTGTCTCTTCCTTATCATACTAGAACCTGAAATTAAGAAAGAAAACACAACCTAGCCTACAGAAGGATGAGAATGAACAAGATTCCTATCAAATTCAAGTTTAATTTCCAAGTAATGACAAAAACTTTCTAAATCTTAGGATTTGACAAGTAGAAGCAAATATAGCATGACGCTGTCTCAATTGGTCAAAGATGATGATTATTGCATGAAAACACCTATGAAATGAGGGCTAAATAAAACCAATTTTAGGTGTTATCAACTTATCAATACTATATCTATACTTTGATTGTTTATTTTCTTCAGCATATCAGTATACTTACTATTTGTTGAAACCCTTGTGTATTCCAAGTTAATATCCCCATCTCTTCCCTCGGCCACGATAACGACCACCCTTACCCCCTTTCTTCATATTAAGAAATAGCTAAAACAGTAGAGTGTATCCATATCTTATTATCCTTGTCAATAGGTGGTTTCAAGTACCCATATGATGCTTTTCTTGTTAAATTTAAGGGCTAATAATAATATCACTAAGAATTCCGAACTATCAAGAATGTGCTATCTGTGTCCTAAACTATTCAATATGACATTTATGTCCTAAACTATTTTTCCGTTAGAGTTAACCGACATTGACTGTTAGTTTTTAACATAAAGTCTAGTATGCGCTAATGTGGCATCTGAAGTGGAGTTTATAATATTAGTTTTTAATTATTTTCCATATAAATGTAATGAATAATCGTTGGTGGGATTTCCCCTTCCCTCTCCCGTCTCCCATTTCACAATCGACGGCTTCTCCGGCTTCCACCGCCACAATTCACCACCGATGGCTTACCCATATGACATAAGATAGTGGGCGGAGAAGAGAGATCGAGAGAATCGTGTTGACAGAAGATGGTGAAGGGGGTGTTTGGCGAGTCCCTCTCCCTGCTCCTTACCGCAAACACAACACCAATAATCGCAATCCAAAACCCGAAATTGCTTGCTCGTCCGCTTAAAAAGAAAGTCGGAAAGACTCCGCCCTCTCCCACACAGACGTTGCCGCCTCTCAATCTCTCTGCCATCATTTTTAGACCATCGTTGAGTCTCGCTGCAGAACAGAGGAGTGCGATGGTGAGATTGTAGATGATGAAGATATCTAGAGGCAGGGTGAAGTTGTTGATGGTGGGGGAGACAGATCTCGTTGTAGATCCGGGAGAAGACGAGTACGGGGCAGCGGAAGAGCTTTGTGCAGGCGGCGGCGTAGTAGAAGAGACTGCTGTCGCTCTCCCTTTGTTCTCATAAAAACCGGAAGGTGAGGAAGAATGGGGATTGTTCATTCTAATGAGGGGAAACGAAGAAGAGGGATTGGGAAGGCGCATAAGGAGAATTGAGGGCCGCCAAATTGGGAGGGTGGAATAAACATCGTCAAGAGTAAGAGGTCGTTTGCTTTTGGTATTTTGGTGTTGGATTTTGGCCCAAAATCCAACATATGTTGGACTTTATAATGAATCCATGTTTGTTAGCATATAATGGATTTTGTTTCAATCTGTGGGGTCTACTAATATTGGATTATTTGGAGCTAAAATCCGTGGGCCCCATGGATTATAAAATCTTACCTCTATAGCTAGGATTTTGGAAGATAGATATAATCCATGATGTTTAATGACCGTGTTACCCCCACTCATTTTGTGTAATCCAATTTTGCCCTCGGTTATTATTATCTCTACTGAGGACTTTTGTCTACACTCTCATCTCACCAACTTTGTCTCTTCGTTGCCAAGGGATTGCAACACAGCAAAAAGCTCCGGCAACCTTTTCCATCTCTGCCTATCGTCGTTTTGTCTTCCTTTTATATGAAGCTCAACACTTAATTATTTCATGCTTACATCCTCTTTTTTTATAATCCAATCCAAACCCTTGATTTTCCTTTCGACATTATTGGTTTGGGTTGAGAGTTTCAATTTACTTTAATGGCTTCTTGCGTGTATACAATATGACCAAATAGTATGGATGTTGCTGCCATTTTTACATATGCTAATTCTTCATGTATATACAAAAACATTCAAAATACAAGTAAAGTAAAAAGTGGTTCATTAAGGATAAGAAAGTAATTTCCCCCATCAAGCCATAATTCCAACCTACTAAAAGCCATTACCAAATCCTACAAACAAACATGGAAGTTTCAAAATCCAACATAATCTCTCATATTCAAAATCCAAGGTTTTATCATAATCCCTCATTTTCTAAAATCCTAGAAGCAAACGACCCCTTAGATAATGGAAGAAATGGCGGCTAAATAAAAATTTTGGGACAAATGTTGGGCGGGCAACAATTTGGGCGCTCATTGTTGAAATTTTTAGATCCAAACCCGCCAAGATACATCGTGGTTGACGGAAGATGGTGAAAAGAGGTGTTTGGCGGCGACGGTGGGTTTACCCAGATGACAAAAGATGGTGGACACTAGAGATGAGAGGGAAATCGTCGGTTGACGGAGTGGGAAGAGGAGGTGGCGGGTCTGGGAAGTGGAGAGGACCTTTTTTATTTTTAATTTATTTTGAGGTGTCAATGATGTGACGTCTACATGGCTGCTACGTCAACAAAACTCAATGTTCAAGTTGACTTCTGTCTGGTCAACCATCATCTATAACAGTCAATGAAATTGTCAGGATATAAATGACACGCAACTATCATAGGTTGGGGACATAAATGTCATATTGAATAGTTTGTGACACAAATGGCACATTCTTGATAGTTCGAGTTTCCTAGTGGTATTAGTCTTAAATTTAACTGACCTGTAAACATGTCCATTTGATTCGTTGAAAATTTATATTTCAATAACTAAACCTATCAAATTAAATTTATATATTTTTTTTGTAAATGGCGAAATCAATTACAATTAAAAAGATCGACGACAACGCCGACGAGAAAAAAGAAAACAAAAAAGAGCAGAGGTAAAGACGCCCTGCCGCAAACAGAGGGCAGAAGTCCACTCCTGAATAAAACCTTCCCAACAAAATCCCCAAAAACTCTCCATTTATCCTTCAAAGCTCAAGGTTATAAAGCTTGTTCTATATGTGAAGCTCTTGGCATGAATAAAAAATTTATATTTTCCTCACCACAAACTCTTTGCTATTTGTTGATGGTGGCAATTGTATCGACAACTTCAGGAATTTTATCCTATATAATACATAAATGTTTTACTAACCTATAAAAAAACAGTACATTTTAGAGAGAATTGGAGGAAGAAGGTAAAAAAAATAAAAAAAAACTCTAAAAATTGGCATAAATGGGTTGAAAATCATACAAAACCATGACCAGGATAAATTCAAAAACCGACCACACCATGACGTAGTAAAATTTATCTTCTATCTTAGTAGTAGTAGATGATGGCAACAAAGACTGAGATATTTATTTATATATTTTCGAGTGATATCAAGAGGACAAGGATTATATAATAAAACTGCATAGGAACCTCTTACAAGCGACACCCTAGTGAAGTCACTAAATAAAGTCGAAAGACTCTAACTCTAGCAGAGAAAATAGCAGTTCTTTACGCGCCACTCAATGAGCGACACTGTTGACAGCTCTAGGAACCACCATAAACTCTATACAAACTTACAAAGAGTCTAGCGCCAAACCTCCAAAGAACCTTCTAGGACACCTTGCCGGATCTGATTTATGACCACCTCAGTCAGAATCACCTTCCACTATCACATGAGTCAAGGATCTCGACGCAACGATGGCGATAACATCTCTTACTGCTAAGAGCTCTGCTAGGTAGGGGTTGACTACTCCATGATGACGCATACTGGCTGCCAACCTCACATGCTAGATCTAATTGACAACCACCTCGAAATCACCTTCCACTATCACGTGAGTCAACAATGACCCGGATTGATGGAGCTTACGGATTACTAATGTTTTCATACTCCTACAAAAGTCATATGCGAAAGGGTTTTTGTGTGTGCGTGTGTTTTTCTTGTTTGGTGTAACTGGATTTTGTGTTTTGATATAATAATTGTAACATCTCTAACCTTTTCCCGACAAAGTGTGTTTTTCTTGTTTGGTGTAACTGGATTTTGTGTTTTGATATAATAATTGTAACATCCCGAACCTTTTCCCGACAAAGATATTGTCCGATTTGGGTCTCGACCCTCACGGTTTTTGACCTGGGTGCAATTCAAGGTGACATCTCATAAGGTCACCCATCCTTGTTGTACTCCACACTGAGCACGTTTAACTTCGGAGTTCTCACAAGAACTCCTCCATTTCACCCCAAAACGCGTCTCGTCAGTTAAGGTCGGTTTCTTACTTATGAACCATGGATCTCTCCCGTACTTTTGTCGCTGTGGGATTCGCCTAACGTGTTACATACCCCCCCTCCCCCCCCGGGACTCAACGCCCTCGTTGAGGTTTGCCCCACCATCGTTCAAGAGGGACGCGGAGAGGCTCTGATACCACTTGTAACATCCCGAACCTTTTCTCGACAAGCTATTGTCCGCTTTGGGCCTCTACACCCGCACGGATTTCGACTTGGGGTGCAATTCAGGGTGACTTCCCATAAGGTCACCCATCCTTGCAGTGCTCCACCCTGAGCACGTTTAACTTCAGATTTCTCACAATATCTTCTCCATTTCACCACAAAACGCGTCTTGTCAGTTAAGGTCGGTTTCTTACTTATGAACCATGGATCTCTCATGTGCTTTTGTCGATGTGGGATGCGCCTAAGGTGTTACATACCTCCCCCCCCCCCCCCCCCCCCCCCCCCCCGCCGGGACTCAACGCCCTCGTTGAGGTTTTCCCCACCATCGTTCAAGAGGGACGCGGAGAGGCTCTCATACCACTTGGAACATCACGAACCTTTTCCCGAGCAAGATATTGTCCGCTTTGGTTTTTGACTTGGGGTGCAATTCAAGGTGACTTCCCATAAGGTCACCCATCTTTGTTGTACTCCACACTGAGCACGTTTATTTTCAAAGTTCTCACAAGAACTCCTTCATTTCACCCCAAAGCGCGTCTTGTCAGTTAAAGTCGGTTTCCTACTTATGAACCATGGATCTCTCTCGTGCTTTGTCGATATAGGATTTGCCTAAGGTGTTACATACACCCCTACCCCTTGGGACTCAATGCCCTCGTTGAGGTTTGCCCCACCATCGTTCAAGAGGGACGCGGAGAGGCTCTGATACCACTGGTAACATCCTGAACCTTTTCTCAGCGAAGATATTGTCCTCATTGGGCCTCGACCCTCACGGTTTTCGACCTGGGGTGCAATTCAAGGTGACATCTCATAAGGTCACACATCCTTGTTGTACTCCACACAGAGCACGCTTAACTTTGAAGTTCTCACAAGAACTACTCCATTTCACCCCAAAACGTGTCTCGTCAGTTAAGATCGGTTTCTTACTTATGAACCATATATCTCTCCCATGCTTTTGTCGATGTGGAATTCGCCTAACGTGTTACAATAATGGTTTGGAATGTTTTTTTTTTATATTTCGGGAGAAAAAAAAGGATGTGTTTTTTTTTTGAGAAAAAAGAATGTGTTTATTTTTGTGAGAAAAAATAATGTGTTTATTTCATAATTATGGGGTTGAAAGAGAAATAAAAATAAACAAATGACAATTGAATAATTTTAACGAGATTTAGAGGGATGGATAAAAATAATTATGAATAAGAATTTTAGGGAGTTGAATATCATGATCCTAAAAGAAAATAATTATGGGTGCTAATATTCCCCCAAAACTGAAGGTGTTCGTCTGGCAGATCTTCCATAGAATTTTACCTACCACGGAGACCCTGATTGAGAAGAAGTTTGCAGTGTTACCTAGGTTCCTTGTGTGTTGGGCAGCATCAGAGACTTTGGAACACCTTTTTTCTGGACTGTCCGGTTGCTCGTGCCCTTCGGGATCATTCTGGGCTAGCTCACCTTGGCGAAGGGTTGCCTCGTCACACTTTCCCTCTCTTTCTGAAGAAATTATTGGCTTTGGTTCATCAGCCAATTGTGTTCATGTCGGTTGATGTCGTCCTCTAGCGAATCTGGCGCTCTCGAAACTGGGTTGTCTTTGACGACAAACAGTTTGGGATTCCCGCTTTGATGCGGCAGTTCAACCAGCAAGTTCAGGAATGGGTTAATCTACCAAAGGAGTGCGTCTCATTCGGCAGGTGGGATGGTCCACATGACTCCAGCTAGAGAGGTTCTGTTGGTGAAGGGGGTCCAATTTCCGGAGGTGGATGACCTCATGGTGGTTGAGATGCTTGTTCTCCGTGAGGCTACCGCATGGTGTGTGGGTAATGGCTTTTCTTCAGTTAGGTTTGAAGGTGATGCCCTTATCATAGAAAAGATCCTCAGGAGGGATACATCATACAAGGGATAACCGAGTGGGGTCGATGCTTGAAGAAGTCGTCCAGTCCTTTGACATGAATATGGGCTTTAGTGTATGATTTGTAGGTCGGCGTAACAATAGGGTAGCTCATTTGGTAGCTAGGAAGACCCTTTCTTTGTATCCGACTATGAGTCGTTTATTTGATTTTCAGGCCTGGCTGAACTCCAGGGTTTAACTATCTATTTGTTCGATATTATATTTTGTAAAAAAAAAAAGAAAATAAAATGTGAAGTTGCAAGAAGTGAGACAAATCCCAAAATCCCGCCAAATTCTCAAATCTGTTCCCAAAGCCCTAATTTTGTCGAGAACCCGAATCGCAAAAGAGAGGGGGCCAGATTTCAAAAGCCATATCAAAGCCGTCTTCAGTCTTGATCGGTCACTGGCCGCTTGAGCAGTCAAGTCAGCAGCTGAAGAAAATCGCAGAATGGAAGACGATGATGAATGGGGTTTTAGCGCCGAAGAACTGGACGCCCTTGAGAGAGATGCTATCCAGAAGATCGCTCAGCAGCAGCAGCGGCGACTTCAATTGTCTGCTAGTTCACTTGCTACCTCTTCCTTTTCTTCCGCCAGTCAAAACCCACCAAGAAATTGCGTCAACAGTGAACCCTCCCCCGCTACTCCTGGTGAAACCTTCAAGGGACTCCCGCCTACGCTCTCGGTAAAATTCATGCTTCATGCTAGTGGAAATATTGCAGTTAGATTTCCATATAATACGGTACTGGTTGATGCGGTGCGCAAGGTGCCTAAAGCCAGTTGGAGTGCGAAAGAAAGATTGTGGATCTTCCCAACAGCTTCATTGCTGTTAGCTGAAAGAGCTATGAGAGAAATCCCGTCTGGTTTAATTGTTGTTGAGGTTGAAGAATTAGATCCCTTGGTGCGGCGTGCTATTGTTGCTGCTTCCACGGTTACGGATCTTCTTCATTGGTATGACAGGATGCCTGACTGTATAGAATCAAAGCTTATGCCTTTTCAGCGGGATGGTGTCAGGTTTATATTGCAGCATGGTGGGCGTGTTCTCTTAGCAGATGAAATGGGGCTTGGGAAGACATTACAAGCGATCGCTGCAGCTGCTTGCGTTCGTGATTCTTGGCCTGTTCTAGTTCTTTCTCCTTCGTCATTGCGATTGCAGTGGGCTACAATGATTCAACAATGGCTCAATATCCCTTCATCAGACATAGTTGTTGTTTTGTCACAGTGGAGTGGGTCAAACAGAGGTGGCTTCTCTCTAGTATCCTCAGCCAAGGGTACCCCAAGTCTTGATGGCTTATTCAATATTGTGTCTTACGATGTTGTGCCAAAGTTGCAAAGCGTTCTAATGGCTTCTGAATTTAAGGTTGTAATTGCGGATGAATCACACTTCCTGAAAAATGCTAAAGCAAACAGGACAACTGCATCGCTCCCCGTTATAAAGAAAGCCCAGTATGCAATGTTGCTTAGTGGAACTCCTGCATTGTCCAGGCCTATAGAGCTGTTCAAGCAGCTTGAAGCTTTGTATCCTGATGTATACAAGAATGTTCATGAATATGGTAACCGTTACTGTAAAGGGGGGAGTTTTGGAGCGTATCAAGGTGCCAGCAACCATGAAGAATTGCACAACTTGATGAAGACGACAGTGATGATTCGTAGGCTTAAAAGGGATGTCCTTTCTGAGCTTCCTCAGAAGCGTCGGCAGCAGGTCTTCCTAGAGTTAGCTGAAAAGGACCTGAAAACTATCAAAGCATTGTTTCGTGAGTTGGAAGTGATCAAAAGCAAAATTAAGTCATGCACATCAGAAGATGAGGTTGCATCATTGAAATTTGCTCAGAAGAATCTTATCAGTAAGATATATACAGTTTCTGCTGAAGTGAAGGTCCCTGCAGTTCTTGATTATTTGGCTACTTTTGTTGAGGCAGGCTGCAAGTTTCTCATATTTGCTCACCATCGACAAATGATTGATTCAATACACGAGTTTTTGCTGAAGAAGAAAGTAGGTTGCATCCGAGTTGATGGTGGAACCCCGGCCGCTGATAGGCAAGGACTGGTAACTGATTTCCAGGAAAATGATGCTATTAAGGCTGCAATTCTATCCATCAAAGCAGGGGGTTTCGGATTAACGCTAACAGCTGCTAGCACTGTTGTGTTTGCTGAATTGGCTTGGACTCCAGGGGACTTGATTCAAGCTGAAGATCGCGCTCATAGAATTGGCCAGGTTTCTTCTGTCAATATATATTACCTGCTTGCAAGTGATACTGTTGATGACATTATATGGGATGTTGTGCAAAGCAAGTTGGAAAACTTGGGACAGATGCTGGATGGACATGAAGATATGATGGAAGTTGCAGCAGAAAACCTGGTGATGGGCAGTGCCAGTTGCAGGCATATCCCCAAACCTACAAAAAGGCAGGAAACACTCGACTCCTTTGTGATGAAGCGATGTAGGAAAGCAGATGATGATGAAGAAGAAGAAGGTGAAGAACAGCAGCAGTATAAGCTCAAATCCTCCAGGCCTCGATGCAGTCAATAACTATGAACAGCTGCCTGTGGCTGGGTTGTAGCTGTAGCTGCAAGTGACAGCAGGGATCGACGGAGAAGCATTGGTGGGGTGAAGGACTGAAGACATCAATTATGGGGCTTCTATTGAATCGAGAAGGGATTCTGAATGGGTGATGGCTTCCCATATTCAAGCATTCATTAACTGATGAATCACTTAATTTCGTACTCAAATCCTATGAAATCATTGCAATTTCTGCAGCATGAAAGGTTGGTGCCTAGTTATATAGCTGGCTGCTTGATCATATTTCTCATGAGTAAATTTAATTCATGTCCGAATGCTGATAGGAGAAATGTAGAGTGTACTTGGTTTCAGCTGGCAGTGCTGCATGTGGTATTTTTGCTACCAGAGCTATTCTCTGGAGCAGACAGGATGGGAGTGGGTAAAGGGCCAAATTCCGCTGGCCTCGTTGTTGCAAATCACACAAGAATAGTAAAATCTCGTTTCCAAAACCTACTGATGCTTCTTCAGTGTCATCAGTGATGGAAAGTTAATCAATTTAACAGTGTCGTTTGTAGCATTATTGTTTTCACAAGCTACTATATCCACAAGTGCATTCAACCGAACGAAAATACAATTGATTTATCCTAGCAGTGAAGTCGGCTTTTCTCGTGGGAATGGGGGGGAAAAAGAACTCATTCTAGCAAACATTTGCTGGCAAATGACAGCAAGCAGAATCATGTTCGTCGTCTCCCAATCCCATACGATTCGATTTATTGTTGAATGTGGAATCAACTACTGATCTCATGTGGAGCATATGAACAAGCCTCCTGTGCCATCTTGTTTGTGTCAATCTATCCCTTGAGCAGAGCAAAGGAGAGGGTGTGCCTTGTGTTGATGCTATGGTCACTATTTCTTTCCTTAATCTCTGTACTTCATGGTTTCCTTCTCGAATCCTACAGTGGGAAACTGCTTTGCATACTCCTCAACGTCGCGACGAAGCTTTGCGATCTCCGATTGCTGTGCATCTGACTTTAGAGCTGCGGTGAAGTCCTTTAACTTAGGTCCTGAAATCAATCCCCCACGACACTTTAGTCCAGCATATATTGAAGGCGTACACGGAATAGGCAAAAGGAAGAAATGACCTACCTTTGGAATCAGCTTTGATCTTCAACGCTAACTTCACCGCTGCATCAAAGAACTCGGCCACTTTCTCAAAGTCTTCCTCAATGAACCCCCTGGACGTGAGAGCCGGCGTCCCTGGAAAAGGAATAAACCAATGAAGAGTGTTTCTAGATTCTAGAAGCTGTCTTTCAGGGAAAGGGAGAAAAGTCGTACCCATGCGAATACCACCAGGAACCATGGCTGACACATCACCAGGAACTGTGTTCTTATTTGCTGCAATGTGAACCGACTCCAAAACTTTTTCAACTCTTGATCCGTCAATACCCTGTAATAATAGTTAGCTTTCAGAATTAATTCTCTCTTCCCACCATGAAAAAATGACAACTTCTGTCAAGTAAACAAACAGGGTAAGACAGAGAAGCTTTCACCAGTACCTTGTTTTTCAAGTTCACCAAGACTAAATGGTTCTCTGTTCCACCAGAAACCAATTCATAGCCTTTATGTAGTAAGCTCTGTGCATATTTTTTAATTAGAAACAAGGTCATATACTGGGTAGCTACATACTTTAGAAACAAGGCCATATGCGCAACTGAAATACAAAGGCTAAGCATACTAGACCAAGTACCTGCGAGAACCTTGAACAATTACTGAGAACTTGTTCTTGATAGTCCCTATATTCAGGGGTTTTAACCTACAACCAACCCATTTACGAAAGTAAGCCCCCAAGGCTTTATATGAAATACAGTCTGCTGGGGTACTAGTGTGGCCTTACTTGCTTCAGTGCAACTGCTAAACCAGTTATTGTGTGATTGTGTGGGCCCCCTTGAAGTCCAGGAAAGACAGCTGCGTTAATCTTATCTTCATAGTCATACATCACCTGCAGGAGCAACTCAACTGTAAGGTGATGCGTCCTAATAGTGGGGAAACGGGCGACCAAAGTAACAGCTTTAACAAAGTAAGGAATTATGTTCCCAGTGTTATTTCGGCAGTTCAACTTACCTCTTGCCCTTGTTTGTTAACTTCTTTCATCCCTTTCCTGAAGAATATCATAGCCCCACGAGGACCACGAAGCGATTTATGTGTTGTTGTGGTCACAACATCAGCATATTCAAATGGAGATGGAATGACACCACCTGCCACCAAACCGCTGATGTGTGCCATGTCAGCCAACAAAACAGCCTTTTGCTTGTCGCAGACCTATTGAAATAATCCAATGAAGGATATGAAGTACATATCCTGACTAAGCAATTAATAAAACGTGTATGCAAAAGATTCGAGAGCTTACTTTGCGAATGCGTGCATAATCATAGAGGCGCGCATAAGCACTTGCACCAGCAACTATGAGTTTTGGTCGAAATAGTGCAGCACTTTTCTCTAGCTGCAAATTTCGCCACATTTAAATCGAACTCAGCTTAGAGAACCGATTATGTTTTGACAATGACCAGAAAAAGCATGTTGGGTGAGAATTATCAAAATGGACACGCAGAAAGATATCTTGTGTTCACAAAAAAAATTGAAATAATACCTGATCATAGTCAATATAACCCGTACTCTCATTTAATCTGTAGGGCATGGTCTCGAAAAAAATGGACACAGCAGATATCTTCTTTGTATCAGTCTGCAGGATGCCCCGAAGACAGTAAACCATATTATCATATTTAGAAGCACGTAGTAGTTTCAAATTCATATTCAGATGGGTCTTTGATGAACGCATTTTATGGTTATTTGGAATTACTATTATTATTTAGCGGATTATTATTCGGATTACTATGTTAGTTTATTGTTTGGGAGGGAGTATTATGGTTAGGTTATTATTTTGGGGAGTAAAGGGAATCATAGTCGATTATTATAAGTATCGGAGTAAGTCAGGTTTATGGTTAAGCTTAATAAGAATATCAAATACCCTAATCGTCTCTCTATTCTTCCTCTCTCTCTAGCCTAACCCCCTCTCTTCCTTTAAGGGCTTCGGCCGAACCCTCTCTTTCTCTCTATCTTTCTGTTATTCCAATTCCCAATTCCTATATCAATCCCTAATTGATCTAACCTAAATCCCCAATTCACCGCATCATTCGCACCCTAGATTCCAAGGTCTATCAGTCTTGAATAGAGTTAGACAACAACATGACCTCTAGAGCATTTGTAGTAAAAAAAAATATTATCTGCTTCAGCTCAGCACCAATATTGATAGACAATAATCACCTGATAGCCATGTGAAAGATGACCTCCATGAGGCAGATCAAGGGCCATGATTCGTTCATGAGGCTTCAACAAGGCAGTATAAACTTGAAAGTTAGCAGGGGATCCAGATAGAGACTGCACATTTACTGCATCAAATAAGACACATGTATCAAGCCATCTTCACACACTCTAGGGGAAAAACAAATGATGTCTTCAGAAAAATTCTTGTGTGCTAACTGGCACTTGTACTGGTGTAATAATGCGAGGAGGATACAGATGAAACAGCTGAATATATGGATACGACATAAGTGGTTGCCATTTTATGATTTGGCACTGGATCCATTATTTTATGGTGACTAATACACAATAAAAGTTAGTGATGCATCAAGATACATCAACCAAGACAAGAAGAATATTTGGAGAAGATTATCTCTTTAGTTGGTGAATTAAGCTCTTTTCTTATCTGAAATAGAGCATTCCCCAGTACCACCCAAGAAAATGTCAATACCTAATTATTTATCCGTCTTTAATAACCTCTCTCCTCATCTGGCCTTATAATGTAATCTATTCCACCAGAAATGGTCACTAAGTTTAAATTCCTTGCCTCAACATTTTGCCATCATACCAATTCGCGGCAAAACTGCAACTCAGTTCACTTAACAATTGCAGCTTTTGGTGAAACGCCAACCAAGCTTCTTATCAATTTCAGCATTCCAAGAAAATGAAGTACGCCAGCATGAATCATACAGGAGCCAAATACCACTTGCCAAGCTCGCCCTATGGCAACACATTAATCAAGTCTCAGAAATTTAAACAGGGTTCCAGGTTCATCCATGGGGAAAGAGAGAGCACTATGATAATCCTGAAGGATGCTAGATTTGGCAGATGAGTTACAAGAAGTTAAATCCAGTGGCAGTTTCCATCATCAGAATGAAGCATTCACTAACCTCCCCATTTTTCAGGATTCAGGTCAAAGGCTTCTAAAGCACGCTTCTGGCATAAGCTCTCGGCCATATCAATGTACCTAATCAAGAAAAATACCGGGGAGAACAAAAAAAAAACTTTCAGCCAGAAATCGTAGATGGCAAATGACAATTTGGAATGAAAGCTCATAAGCTCTTCAGCCATATCAAGTGCACGTACTCGTTTCCACCATAGTATCTTGCTCCAGGGTAACCCTCACTGTATTTATTGGTCATAACGGAACCAACAGCTTGCATCACAGAAACTGATGTGAAATTTTCTGATGGTATAAGTTCAAGTCCCTGAAAAGCAAGTTCAAAATTCAAATCCCCCATGTCAATACCTTATCGTCTTCGAACAGCCAGGCAGGCAATCAAAGATTTGTTGCAACAGTAACAGAGATTAATGTTGGTGCATATATTTGTTCATGCAATTGAATGTGGTGGTACCTTCCATTGCCTAGCCTTCTCGAGCTCAATAATGTCAGCTACTTCGGGATCGATTTCCTCGAGCGGTGCATTCAATTGCTTTATCCACTGAGACGGGCAGATCAACGGTAAAGCGAACCAGAAGAAGGAAAAGACGATCAGGAAACAATAACGCGATTTCTTGCTCAACTATTGCCTCCACCGTGGCAACAGCGGATCTCAACGTTCAAACGATTCCACAGAGAGAAACGTGAAAAAAAGAACGGGTAGAAAGGAAACAGAGGCTTACGGCGGCGCGAGCGGAGTCTTTGTCGGAAACTGCAGGATTAGGCAAGGAAGACTGCAAAACCAGATGACAAGCGAGTTTCAGAACCGGGAAAAGAAAACGAAACCGGAAGAAGAAACGCGCAAGCAACGAACCATTGAATAGAGGGAGCCGCCATTGAAGTAAGGTTTAATTGGAGATTTGAGAGTGGAGGAGAGCCTGCGAAGAGCAATCGCCGCCATTGCCGCTCTGTATTCTCTTTCTCTCTCTCTCTCTCTCTCTCTCTCGTAGTCTAGCTAGAAGCTCGGTTGAAGAGCTGGAGTGGTGGTGGTATTGGTGGTACGTGGGACGTAAGAGAGAAGGTTACCTCGGTTGGTGGCGGTGGCAGTGTCAGTGGGGTTGGTGACGACGCTGAATGGGGAAGTGGTTTCCTCTTTTGTCTTGTAGTGAAATGAAAATTAGGGGAAGTTTTGGAGTGGAGTACTCACTTGTGACTTGTGAGTGTCACTAGGTGTGACCGATTGGTTTTTGGTTAGCGGTTAATCGATTGATTTAACCAATGACCGCCAGTTAACAACTAACCGATCGGTTTAACTGATAATCGTCGGTTAGCAGCTAACTGTAAACCGACGACTAACAATCTCCGTCGGGGTTCGGCAAAGAGAATGGTGGGTTCGGTGGGAAAAGTTAGCATCATGCTGATTAGTATCTAAACTGTTCAGCCCTATTTCAAATCTAATGACTGCAAATAGAGAAAGGGTAGCTTAGTAATAGAAGATATAATTTTTATTTTTTATTTACTTGGACTGATTTTTAGAGTGCAGTTACAAATTGTCCTTCAAATTATCTCTCTCCCTCCACATCTCTCTTTCTCCCTCCTCTACATCATATCTCTGTGTCTCTTCGTACACACTAAAACACTACACACTGAAGAAAACATTGCTCCCTCTTTTCTTTTTCCAGGTTTGTAAGTATTAATTTGGAGTGAACTATTGATTTTATGGTTTTCTATTAGTAGTGATTTCAACAATAATTAATGGGTTAATACCCTCGTTTGGCACGAAGTATAGCGTTAGTGACATTTCTGGCCCAAGTTTTCAAATAAGACATCTCTGGCCCACTTTTCAAATTATCGGACGAATTTGGCCTGTGGGACGGGTTGACTGTCAGATTTGACGGTCAACAATGTTCTCCGTTGCTTACTCAGCATTGGACTCTGACGTGGCTTCTCCACGTCATTTATTTTTATTTCCCCTTTTATATCCATTTCTAATTAAGTAAGTTAAAAAAAAACAACAAAACTAAAGGGAAAGGTGGAGACCACACACTACCCATCTCTTTCCATTCTCCCTTCTTCCCCCGATACCCCACCCCCTCGTATCCCCTTCCCCGATCTTCTCCGCCGCCGCCAATCCGACCCAAATCGCCGCCGCCAATCCGACCCAAATCTTCTTCTTCTTCTTCGTCTTCTTCTTACAAGTCATCAAGTGCAAGAAGCAAATTAATTAATGGAAGTCGTTGGCAGAAGGGTTTGATGATGAAGGCAAAGTGATTGATATTCCTTTTGTCTTTGCCATTTGTCCTCTCTCAAATGAATGGCATTGGAGTGGAGGAGGAAGGCTCTTTGGTCTTTTGCAGCTTTGAAAAGATACTCCCACTAGCTGCTGCCATTTCTTCTCTTCTTTTTTCTTTGATGGTCTGGTTAGTTGCAGCAGTCTCATTGCACGCGCTCTCGAATCTGTTGCTTCCTCTCGATGGGTTGGCGACGAAGAGGAAGAAGACGAAGGAGGAAGGTGACGAAGAAGAAGAAGAAGAAGATTTGGGTCGGATTGGCGGCGGCGGAGAAGATCGGGGAAGGGGATACGAGGGGGTGGGGTATCGGGGGAAGAAGGGAGAATGGAAAGAGATGGGTAGTGTGTGGTCTCCACCTTTCCCTTTAGTTTTGTTGTTTTTTTTTTAACTTACTTAATTAGAAATGGATATAAAAGGGGAAATAAAAATAAATGACGTGGAGAAGCCACGTCAGAGTCCAATGCTGAGTAAGCAACGGAGAACATTGTTGACCGTCAAATCTGACAGTCAACCCGTCCCACAGGCCAAATTCGTCCGATAATTTGAAAAGTGGGCCAGAGATGTCTTATTTGAAAACTTGGGCCAGAAATGTCACTAACGCTATACTTCGTGCCAAACGAGGGTATTAACCCATAATTAATTAGAATCAATAGGATTATAAAGAGGTGTCTTCTATGGTACCCCGAGTGAAATTCGGGGTAACGCATACATTGAGTATGAAAACGCTACCTAGATCTCGAATTAGCAGGATTTTTGGGCATGATACTATACTCTAACCCTTAATGAGTGAACCCTAGGTACTAATTATCTAAATCATAAACTATAAACCCTAAGATGGTGCATTGATTTTTTTGCCTATATTTGGACGAATCATAACCGTTGATTATTATTTCTAATTAAATTGATCTTGGGGTATAAGATTTAGAGAATTAAGACCTAGATTTTGATCTTCAAGGGTTAGAGTATAATATCATATCTGAAATATCAGACAATTCAAGTTCTGGATAGCGTTTTCTTACTCAAGGTATGCGATAGCCCGGATTTCACTTTGGGTACTGTAGAATTCCCCTTATAAAGATTACTAGATAATTGGCCCGCGCTTTGCCGCGGATGGTGTGAATATATAATTGAAAGATTAAATTAGAATAAAAGATACTTTGATTGTAGATTGATTTTATATCGTTATCTTTGATGAGTTGGAAGTTTACATAAATTCGCCAGGCCTTCTTGGATGACATGGCCTAGGGTATTCGCTTACCTCCAACCTAATTCTTTCCCATTTCCTTGCTTGAGGTTTATACTTTTAGGTTTTTTCTGACTTCCGTCATAAGCTTTAGGACTCCTTCAGCTAGGTTATCATATAATATTCCACAAATTATCAAGATATAAATGCATGACTTTTGCTCATGAAAATTTGTAATACTATATCAAGGATAAAAATTTTCAATAGCTTGAAGTTATGAAGTTATGATGGTCAAATCACCAAAAATTCATTTCATATATGGTGAAAAGAAGCATGGAAATCAAAAAAATGTGACAATTAAATAGTGTTTATGAATATGTACACATAGAATTGTTTAAATACTATAAAATTTAAAGCATTAATCTCATCAATTTAAGCTGGGATACTTATCACCTTCTTTACTAATCCTCATACAATATTTGCCTCACGTGGCTCTTATTCATAATTAGACATAGGCGCGGGCGATGGGTGGGTTGGGAAGGGTTTTGGCATAAAATTGACTTACCTACTTAATTACTTGTGAGTTGGTATAATTGTGACCCATTATATCCACCCACATTATTCTTAGGGTCGGGTTGAGTGTGTGGCGGATGGGTGCTATTGGGTCGTGGGTTAATTAACCGACAAAAATTATTCTCTAATTAATCATTAAGAAAGTTGACTAACATTTATAATAAGTTTCTAGCAAATTACTAAGATTGTATCATTTAGACACTTCACACTTGGCCTCAAGTGAATCCATGTAGTATTTGCATCAAAATTTTCATATCAACCAATTGTGTAGAGAAATCTTACGCATTTTGCGATTTTGATACGATTAATAGTTTATAGTTTGTATCCGAATCTCTAATGGATATTAACCAATAATTTGCATCCTAATATCCAATATCTCATGGATATTGTATAACACAATAACGAACAATAACATTCAAAACTATTCTTTATTCTCCACCTTTGTTTATAAGTAGAAGATTGTCCGTTTGTAGCGTGGTTCGAAAATATGATGAATATTCGTTAGTATAAGAAACACCAAGTTTTTCCATGTGAAAATAGGGTGCGGGTCATTCCGATGACCCGCAATCCACCCCCCCAGCCTCTCACATCTGTGCAAAAAAAAATTGAAATCCGAGTTAGAACGAAGAAGATAAGAACCGATTAAGAAAAATAGGGAAAATATAATACTTTTATTTGACAACTCTTAGATCTGAATTTTTTGGACCCACTTAAATCTAAAGGTCCAGATTTAGTCACTCATATGTTAGTAACCATTGGTTACTGACCCTATCATAAGCCAGCTATGATGGTGTGTATCCTTACCAAAAATGCCCTTCCAGTAAAACCACCATTCGATTGAGGGAAATATAAAGGAAAGGAAATGAGAGGGTTTATTACGGTGCTAACTTATTCTATGGTTAGCATCCCATCCCATCCCATCCCTCGCTTCGGTTAGCCGACTAACCGAAGCTAACCGACCGCCGTTCACACCAATCTCCACATGACACTGTTCCCCACCAATACGACCTCGTTCCCCACCAACCCTATCCTCCTCCTTCTGTTCGTCATCGACCTCTCACCCCCGCCTGGCTACCTCCACCCTCCATACCCTTTGACCTTCCCCTGTTCCTAGTCTCCCGCCATCTCCCCTCGCCTTGCTGACCCCCACCTCCACCCGCGACGAGACGCTGCTCCTCCGACGGTCCCCGCGACCCCCTTCGTCTTTGGGAGTCGTTGTCGCCATCCTTCCTCTTCCCTGACAGAAGCGCACCCAAATTGAACACAACCCAGAACCCTTCACCCTTCGCCTTCGTCCCTATGCTCTTCGATTCCTCACCGTCTGTGTCTCCGTCTCCGGTCTATGCACCCATTCTTTTCCTTTTTTCGGGAGCTGAACCGAGAATTAAAGGAGAGATAATGTTGGGTGCTGAAGAATGAAAAGAAGGAAAGAAATTGATTAGAATTTTCAAATTTGGGGATGTTTGGGACAGAAGGTAGGGGAAAGTAGTAGTAATTATAGGGAGAGAAGGTTGGGTGCAGAAGAATGAAAAGTAGGAAAGAAATTGATTTGGATTTTCAATTTTGGGCGAAGTTTGGGACAGAAGGTAGGGGAAGTAATAATGATTATAGGGAAAGTAGAATCTTTATTAAAGAAAAAAGGAAAAGTAGGATTAAACTGACACCACCATTAATTTCTGTCACGCGACTAATCGCGTCTAAAATCGAAAATGACTGGTCGGTTTTCCAGTTAACCTAAAGCATAATTCGGTCGGTGGTTGATAGCTTTTGCATGTTGTCGGCTCACCGATAACTGACGTTTCAATTTTCGGTAAAATCGAAACCGACCAAAATCCAGCCCTAGCTCACGTCTCATAGCGTTTTATATTTGTTGGGCAGAATAGAGGAGATAGTTGAGTAGTGGACCGTATTTGGAAAAAGGTGGAGAGGATTGAGTTGTGACCTGACTAGTACTGGATCGAATATCTAGAATCGAAAAACTTATAAGTGTAATATTAGCTCTGGACGCCCTTATCAAAAAAAAAAACCTTATCAAAAATATTAGCTCTGGACGCAAAGGAGGGTTGAGTTGTGAGTCGGAGAAGCCTTCCCTTAGATCCGCCACTAGTCTTTGGTGTGGGTTTAGTACTTCACTGTCACACCCCGCAGCGACTATTCGTTCCTCAGTCTCAATATTGAGAAAACTGAGCCGAAATATGAACTATTGTAGTGAACAGTTCACTCTTTAGTAGTTTAACCAATATTGAGCCGTTAAAAATCATTAATGAACCGGTACCTAATAAATAATTTTAACAAAAAACTATCAACAATCAAAATCCCTAAATTAGAAAATTATCAACTAACCCATAAAAATGGGGCCCCTTCCCTTATTAGTCTCTGCCCAGTGTCCCTCAATTAATTAAGGGGTCGTTTGCTTGTTGGATTTGAAAAATGAGGGTATTGACCAATAAAAACCTTGGGATTTATGTTGGATTTATTGGATTATGGATTTGAAGAGTCTAATGTTTGCATGATAGATTTGTGATGGATTTGTTAAATAAATAACTAACCATCAAGGATTTGCAAATCCCAAATCAATATGTGGGATTTACAAGTTCGTGGGGTCCACGGATTTGGTTCCAAAATAAAGACCAAATCCGTGGAGCCCACGGATTTAGCACCCTTCAACAAACAATAGACTTATGTTAAATCCATCAAGCTTGGGATTTGGGTACCAAATCCATGACCCAAATCCAACAAGCAAACGGCCCCTAATTTAAAGGTCCTCCTAAAATACTAACGGTCTTCTTAAGTTTAATATGTTAATTATCTATTTTCCCAAATAAAATTTCAAATAAACCCAACCAAACAATTATTCCTATCTTTCTTCGTTCACTCTCCCCCCCCCCCTTCCTTTCTCCGATGAAAACCCTCACCTTCCTTGAGCAATGTTGCCGCTTCACCTGAAACTGTTGTCGCACGCCGATTGGAGAAGAATTCGAACCGCCACCAACTATCGCCATACGCTCGTCTGCTCCACTAAGACGAAAAAGACAGGGAAACGTTATGGTGACAACACTCCTAATGCGGTTAGGGTAACAATACTAATTCCCAACCAATAGGACGATAGAATTATGTACTTTTTTATTAGTTATGCCGACTAAATTTAGATAGTGTAAAATTGGTGAAATGATAGTATTATTTTAAACTAGCAAATCTTATTGTTCCTGCATTCTGTCGTTTCTTACTCCTTTAGCATCGACACCAATCCTCGTCGTTGTCGCCTCTTGGTCGTTCAAACTAGCCAGCTGCTCTACTAGTACGTCTCCCAGGGATAGTCCAACCAACTTCATTTCTTGTCTCTTCCCTTTTTTTTTGTTGATTTTCGATCAGGGTCAACTACAACAAAACTGTTGGAAATGAAAGGTGAACTGTTTGAAAGCTATAAGTCTCATTGCAAGAATACCACATTGGTGGCAGAAGTCCTGCCAAAGGGGTATAAAGGGCTCGCTCTCCTAAGAGAAAGTCCATTGGGGTAACCCACTTTTGTGGGAGAGGAATGACCTAACAGACCACCACGCTCGACATTTAACCAACCGACTGGTCTGTTGGGTGGGTGGTTCGGCTTGAGACTAAATCTTTTTGGAAAAAATTTCAAAATTATTTTTTTATTAATTATTAATCGATTATTCTGTATCTTTAACAGATGCGAGGACAATTGATTAAAATGAATATTAGAGAGATAATTCGCCAAAAATTATCTTAACACTCTTTTTAATTAATGGGTGATTATCTTCTTTAATTATCGTGACTTATTCACAACAAAGAGAAATATTATATGGGTCTCAGCTCCTATAAATAGCCGAACCTTCAGACCCTCTAAACAAACCTTCGAAGAGCAGAAACATGAGAATGAGTGAGTTTAGATTCGATACCCACTCACTAATATCTAGAATAACATCCATTTGTGTCATGATTGCTATTGGTGTGTTGAACAATCTCATGGTACACAAAATGGATGTTAAAATGACCTTTCTGAATGGTGATTGAGACGGAGAAATTAACATGGAGCAACCTGAAGGGTTTGTCATTCTTGAACATGCTTCGAAAGTCTGTAAGTTAGACAAATCATTGTATGGTTTGAAACAAGCTCCAAAACAATGGCATGAGAAGTTTGACAATCTGGTTCTCTCACATGGCTTTAGAGTGAATGAAAGTGACACTACCAAAATTATGGGTTGGTTCCTTGCCCATTTCCGATCGCAGATCCACCCCGCCGGTTACAGACGGGGATATCGATGATCTCGCATGGATGCCATATGGAGGAGAGGACTAACAAAAATGAGATATGTTCAGAGAAAGGAGTTGAAAAAGGACGGGGTGGTAGAACAAACAGGGATGCTCTACAGAAAGGAGTCAAATAAGGATGGAGAGGAAGAAGAAACAGGGGATCTCTACAATGTGTCCTGACGATTTCTGTATCTCACAGGGATGCTTGCGACGGCGAACAAGATGAACACATAAGGGTGTATTCCCTTTTCATTTGTCTTTGCTTCTGTCACATAGGGGTGGTCTTGTCCAGTCAGTGTGAGTTTAGGTCTTTCTGCTTCGGATCAAGCCTCTTGATCCATGTATTTTTCCCTTTCTTTCTCCTAATATAGTCGTCACCATTATCAAAAAAAGATGAACAAAGGAGATAAAATTTGAAATTTGGGTTTTTCATTAAAAACGCACATTTCTAAACAAACAAGAAATTTGATTCAAATTCTTAATCACAAATATATGATTTTTTAATTGAGAGATTTGGACCAAAATCTTTCACAAATCCCTCTAATTAAAATCTTGCATCCAAACCACCCCAAGGGGTATTGGGGCCGGAATTCTGATTCCCACGTGTGTGGGATTTTGGCCCAATTTCTCCACAAAAGTTTTAGGTTGCAAAACATGTATTTTTACCCAATTTATGCGTATAGTGGAAATTTAGATAAAGATCTTCCTATTACAATAACTTAATGAAAATGTAATTTTTTGTAATATTTATTTAAATTTGAACTAATATAAGCGTAATAGATCCAAGTTTGTGATCTCCGTTTCGCATAGCAGTCAAAATTGAGATTTTACGTAAAATCGAAAAGGGGATAAAATTGGAATCATAAAATCATAGGATTTTAAGTCCTATATAAAAATGATGATGTAATAATATTAATTAGAAAAATCATGAATAACACAACAACACATAATAGTTACAATGATAATTTTTCAAGTTTAATGTTTCGATTTATCTAGGATAATGTTGGGAAGTGGTTAATCGATGATGATTAATACGTTGATGTGAATTAATGATGGTCGATGGTGGTTAGTGTGCGAGAACTAGACGATGTTGGTGGAGGAGAAGGAAAAGAGACGTAATTTTGTGAATTTTGGGGGAAAATGTAAAATTGACCCAAAGATTTGAATCGTAAGATTTTAACGATTTTAAGGATCTAAATCGTGAATATTGTAGGATTTGAAGGTCCATAGATTTTATAGTGAAATCAGAATCGGAACAAGTAAGTAATATCATTAAACCGTAGGATTTTAGGATTTAGATCGGGTTTTGACTGTTTTTCAACGTTTCGTCACTGTGTTTAATATATATTATGAAATTTTATTTGGGTAACTTTTTTTTTTGAAAAGTAGCATGTATTCAAAAATTAAACATGTTCAGGAGTTACATTGCCATCAACTAATAATTGAGGTACTAAGAAAATTGGAGGACCGTTAAACCAAACTTCTGTCTCCTCCGGTAGATAGCGCACTCTTGACTCTCGCCATCGCGTAAGCGCTTTCATCTCCTTGCCTCCCCCAAAACCTCCATCGTACATTTCCATCCTCCCCAACCAGCTCCCGGATTTCATCACAAATCCCCTACTTCCCAAATCGTAGACTCCCTTCGATCCATCTTCTGAATCATCTATTTTCAGTCTGTTTTCATGAGCAGTGGCAAGAATTGGTGCGCTTTAGCTAGCCTCAATCCCCAGAGAAAGGCATGTGCTTCCGCCATTTCTAGTGGCCACTTCGTTCTCGTGCGATGCACCGCCGCCATCTAAAACTTCCCCTCGTCGTCACGGATAACCAGTCCGTTCCCAATTCCTTCATCGCCCAAGATCGTCGCGTCCGTGTTCAATTTGAAAGATCCCTGTGGCGGAGGTTCCAAACCTAATTAATTCTTCACAGTAGGGGCCTTTACTCCCTGGGTCTGCATCTGCTAATACTCTTCCAGGTAATACTGAGCTTGCATCACCACCTCCCATTCCTCTAGCTTTGCATTATTGAACAAATGGTTGTTTCTCTCTTTCCAAAGAAACCATAGGGTGATTAGCACCACAATGAGCTCCTCCTTGTTTTTCCCCTCAATTAGGTTGCAGAGTCATTCCTCGCAGTTTTTTCCATTCCCCATCATGAAATACTTCGCCAAATTGCTTGGTCTACAGACTCGACCTAACCAGTCACAATCTCTAGTTATGTGTTCTTGGATTTTCACCAATCCACAAAAGTGACATTCATCATGTGCCTCTGGGATTCTTCTGCTAAGATTTGCCCCTGTAGGTAGAATGTTTCTACCTCATCGCCACACAAAAATTCGAACCTGTGGAGGTAATTGAAGCATCCATAGTTATTTGGGTAACTTAAGAATGACATCTCTCATAATTTGCATGATGAATGTATTTTAGAAATTTTCAAAATATAAAAATACATATGAAACTATTGTTAAGTTTTGTTTTTCCACGTTGGCACTACCTTAGATGAATTCTTGACTACGCTTATGGTGATTTTCAAGTCACTATGATTTGGAGAAAATGGTCGACCACTTCCGAAAAAGGATTGACCAGCGGTCAACCACTATGATTATATAGTTGGCCGCAACCATTATGTGGTCGACCTTATGATAAAAATGGCAATGGAAGTCGACCATAAACATTGTATTGTGATGTTTCAAAAGAAATTGGTCAATGACATCATTGCGAGGTCGGTCTTTATACCTCAAGCGAATGCCGTGAAGAGTGCTCTAAAGATGATGAACCTCAGGATATAACCTGAAAGTTATGTGGTCGGCCTGTTAATCTATTGGTAGTGCACGAACAACTAACTTTGATGTTCCAATGTTTTTTCTTCTTCAACAAGCTCCTAAGCCATAAGAATTCGTTTACATGATTTTTAGAGAGATAGATTGGCACTTTCGATATTTATTTATAAAAGTTTATGTTTATAAATGCTGGAAAAGTTCTTGTTGAGTACTGAAACCTTATAGTAATAGATTCATGTTCCAGCCCCGATAAGATAATGACCAACCGATTGATCGTTATATTCTCGTTCGACTTGTATTTTTCTTTATAACGGTGAAAAAACTTTTCCATTGATGGAATCTTGTTCCAAATTTCATAAGGTAATGACCAACCAATAGAACACTTTATTGGAGTGGTCGAGCGTTGTTTTCGTTTGTAATGGTGCAATTCCGTTATAACAAACTAAGCATGTCATCCAATCGGCCATTACCGGAAACAATCGACCATTTGCCACAGAAGTTCGACCATTTTTTGGAAGCAGTCGACTGTTTAGGCTGTTTTTTCTAAGTCATCACAGTAGCAAAGTTAACTATATTGTAACTACCATCATGATGCATTCACTTCGATTTGTCATGTGACAATCTCTTTCAAGAGAAGTGCTTTCCGTGGAATTGTTTTTTTTATTAATTCATATCAGCATAAATTAGACTACCCCAACTTGTTTCTCAAACCAAATTATACAACCTAAGTTCGTACACACCTGTTCATCAAACTTGGAATTGCAGAAGAACCACCAATCCAGAGATATTGAGTTCCAACTTCTCCTAAAGGAATGCTCCTATCTACAGCGAGTTAGATAATACACTCAAATACCACAACCAACCGTACTTGGTACCCCAACACTAAAGTACATAAAAGCTAATATAGAACCTGTAGGAGCCTATACAGCATGATAGCCATTTTAAAGATGAAGGGCCGCCACCTCGTTTCCGAATGGTTCTACTCACTCGTGTTTCGACAAAGCACCAGGAGAACCAACCGGCTGTTGCTGGGTAATGCAGTGAATGTTTCCACCTCCCAAAACAATCTCCCTAGCACCTTCGATTCCAACCACCTGAGAATTGCATATCATTCAAAATTATCAGAGTGCGCAAAAGGACCAAAAACTGAGATCATCATTCTGATTCACAAGTAGGAAAGATACTTATCTTGTATGTTATATACCAAGTGGACAGAAAAGAAGAAAGAAACAGAAGCATGGGGCTTACTTCACGATTTGGGAATACTACAGACAGGACGCGAATGGCTTCATCATCCCACTTTTTGTCTCCGAATTGTGGTGTAATTATCCCTCCATTGGCAAAATAGAAGTTCACATACGAAGCAGCAAGTCTTGTACCCGAAACTCTTGATTTGCCATCACCATCCTGCTCATGAGGTACAAAAAGTTAAAACTTATGAGCTCACAAATTACAATCTGAATTTCACTATATCCTGAGCGCTTGGAGTCTAACTATAAAGGAGGGTTTTGTTTTTATTCTTACTTGAGCGAACCCATTTCCTTCTTCCTCTGTCATGTAAAGAGGTCCTGGCACATGAAGCTTGATTATCTCTAGCTTCCTCCCCTTAGCATCAGTTGCATTAGACAGCACAGTAAAGGCTTCGACCGATCGTTCAAACTGAGGATCCTTTTCATCATCAGTCCAAGACAGCAAAACCACACCAGGTCGTGCAAAGCAGCACATATTGTCTATGTGACCATTTGTATCATCGTCACCTGTTCAAATCATGCCCACCATTACATTTTAAGATAGCAAGTCGTCGGTAAACCATCATCAGCTCATCAATAGAGAGAATATATGGTAGTACGAGAAAGATAAAAAGTTTTTGAAATGTATGTAATAGAAATAACATTATGAGGTAACAGATTAAAAAATACCATATAGTCCTCGAGGTAACCAAATAACTTTACGAACTCCCAGATACTCTTTCAGTTCATCTTCTATTTGTCTCTTTGTCAGATCAGGATTCCTGTTCTTGTTCAAGAGGCACTCCTCAGTGGTAAGGCATGTCCCTGTTGGAATAGAAAAGCCATATCAAATAAATTTGAAAGCCAAAAAGATGACACATGTGAAACCAACTATCTTCTGATAATACAAGATGCAGAAAAAGATGAGACACAAAAATTATATTAGTAATGCATATTCTCCCATGGTTTCTATGCATTATGAAATCATCTTCACGGGAAAGAATCATCTACGCTAAAGTACTTTCAACAAGATAAAGCAGAAGTACTTTGACCTTCTCCATCGACATGGATGCTTCCACCTTCAAGGATCATAGAATGTTGAAATCTTGGACACCTCTCAATTTGAAGAATCTATAATCAAGTTACAAGATGAGAACAATTGCCATCAGCAACTGAAGTGATACAAAAGCAACAAGTAACAGAATTTAAACCTGTTCATCTAATTTCGAGGGGCAAAGAATAAAGGATTATGGTTCACTTACCTTTGATGCCACAGCAGTATCAAGGCTCCAATCTTGGTAACAACCCTCTTCAACTCCTGCAAATAAAAAGACAATGACCTTTTAGAAGGCTTTGACTCAAGCTAATCACTAGCTAATTTGCTGCAGAAAGTAACCAGTGTAGTAATATACATATACATGAATCAGAGAGATTAAGATGGTTTACCTCCCCAACTATTGAAATTCCAGTCAATGGCTGCAATCACTTGCTCCAAAGAAATGTTGGAATTTGGCGCACTCTTCCTTACAACAAACTGCATTGAGAAACAAAGTTCTTAAGAAAAGACATGTTTAAATTAAATAAACTTTATCTGTTCGTACCAATCCATCTCTTTGCTGCGACTTACTATTGGGCCAGTATCACGAAACCAGCAATCATTCATACTCATCTCAACAACTCTAATGTTTTCAGGGAGCTGCCTCCTAGCATTTTCCCACTAAACACAGACAAAAAAAGTTTCAAATTTAATTCAGTAGAAAAGCAAGGTGAATTCTGTATTTCAGAGCAGAGGGTTGAAGAATTAAATCTCGAACCAACCTGTGCAGCACTAGCACAGACAGTCACTGGCTCGAACTTCGAAATTGCAGTTGCCACCTTAGCAAAAATATTTTGACCACGTGCAGCACCATCTCGCCAGTTATCTAGTCGCTCCTGCATTGCATAATGGTTTACTGATCGTTGCAAGTTTTTGACTAATTATCATGAATGTTGGAGCAAGTAACCAATAAAATTAACAGGGGAAAATGGATGCAGAAAAACGACCCTGAAGATGTAACAGTGTTGCAAGTTCCCACCGCTTACACTATTGTAGCAAAGAAAGCACACTGAGATGAATAAATCACTGTTACGTACAGGATGGGGATGGGGACCAAACCAAGTGTTTCACTTCAGCCAAAGACGTTTAGGTCAACTACATCACCCTAGAAACTAGGGTTTATTAGAGACAAACCCAACAACCTACCGTCCATGCAACCTCAATGGACCAAACGAACAGTAAAGAACGATTAGTATTCTATCATGCTGAACCACAATTCGAAGCCCAATAAAAACTCTATTAAGAAGTACAACAACCCTTACAGGCCAACCCATCCAAGTCTGAGAATGAGCCTCCCACTCTGCAGGCATCTTGAATCCATGGAGAGCTGGTGTTCCCTTCAAATCCACCATTTTGACACACTCTTGCAAGGAAAATGCTTGACCTAGCAGGAAACAAAGCCGTAATTTGGTAGGGTCGCCAGAAGTGAAATCTGGGCCCAGATAGCAATAGCATGATGAAGATTATGGCAAACAACATTAAGTCAGTAATCCAGATCAGCATTCGGGTTCAACAGACGCAGTAACTTACAGAGGCGGGACAATTTGAGAACCCTAGCAACTTCAATCGAATTGAACTTCCCATATCATTTTCATAGAAATTACTCGTGTTAGACAGCAAAGGACAACGAAAACCCAATTCGAAATATACAAAGAGATGAAAGCAGCTCGGAACTCAGAATTGTCAAATGGATCGCGAAAAGAAAAAAAAAATCGAGCCCAGTACAAATTCAGCTTTAGATACCTTGGGCGGTGCAGAAAATGGTGTTCTTGGTGGACCGGCAGCTGGAATCCCGAAGTCCGGAAAAGCCGAGCAGATTGAGCAAGGATGGACGCGAATTTCCCGAGAAGAAACCAACTGTCTGTCTTACTTCCGGCCGGCGAATATTTTTTACTAAGAATTTAGGGAAACCCGATTTTGCTATGTTAATCAAAACCCCGAATTTGGAAAATCCCGTTGCTGGTTTCAGGTGAATGTATCAGGTCAATAACCTTATGGTGAGTAACCGTGCACATCAGCATGACATCAGTATCCGCTCTCTCCTGGAAAACCTTTAATTTTCCCCTCTTTAATCTTTGACGGACGATTTCTCACTCATTTTAAGTCGAAATTTAATTTTTTTTTGCACAGTTAGATCAGATTAATTGTGCTCTTCAAAATGATACCACTTTAATATATTTTTCGAACAAAAAAAATTGAGCCATTTTTTACCAGTCTATACCATATGGTATTGACTGGTATTGAAATAAAAGCACCTATGGTTTGAAAAACGTACCATGGTGGTATGAACAAACTAAGACTGTAGGATGATTAAATACATGATAGTAAAAGTATATTAATTGTCATTTACGACTTTTAACATTGTATACCACACAATATCACCCCGTACTAGGGTGGTATTGTATGGTATTGTGTGGTATTTTTTGGTCCTGTAATTTGTTCAGCCAGAAATTTTTAGATCCAATAGATCATGATGAACTCGTCCCTTCTGTGCAAACGTTTTCAAAAACGAATTAAAAACGAAGAAGATACCACACAATACCACCTCGTACCAGGGTGGTATTGTATAGTATTGTTTGGTCCTGTAATTTGTTCACCCGGAAATTTGTAGATCCAATAGATCATGATGAACTCGTCCCTTCTGTGCAAACTTTTTCAAAAACGAATTAAAAACGAAGAAGATACCATATGGTATGCAGTTGGTACCGAGAGGCCAGAATTTTTTTTTTTCTCAAAAAATATTGAAAATTGATCTCATTTTGTAGAGCACGATGAACTCGTTTCATCTGTGCAAAAAAAAATTAAAATCCGAGTTAAAACGAAAAAGATATGAGTCAATTAAGAAAGCTAAAAAAAATAAAAATGGTCTTTAATTCTCCTTCCTTATATCTGAATTTTCTAAATAAAGGGTTCAGATTTGGTTATTGATGGGTGCATAACTCATGGTTATGCACCCTATCTTGAGCCTGGTTTCAGCTTACGAGTTACGATAACGTGCGTGATGTTTTGGAAATATAAATCTAAGTGATATAAGGGACAAGCTTGTAAAACTGTCCCCATAAAACTAATAATTAATATTTAGTTAATTTAGAATTTTGTTAGTTGTCCCTAAAATAACTAGTTTGGGCGAAGTAAGAATCTGTCACGCAAAACGTCACCCAGCCGTTGGTGCATTTGTTCCCCTCTCTCCCACGATTAGCAGTTCCGAAACCCAGGGTTTCTATTGCCGTTCGTGCGACTATCTAATCGCCACTCTCCGGCGAAGTGGCCCCGCTTCCCGGCGGTTTGGCTGTATGAGTGCCTCTTGCGGCCTTATAAGGCCCTGGTGGCCTCTTAGGGTTCATCAAGTTCCAATCCCCCTCTTGCATCTTCAATTGCAATTGTCGCCTTTGTCCGTCGTTGAGCATCTCCCCATGGCTGCCACGGTCAGTGTTGTGTTCACAGATGAAGCAATTGCCGTCTCTGAAGAGCGAACCAGCCTCAGCCTCATTGGGCGAATCTTTGGCCCCGCTCCATCGACGGGGAGTCTTCAGCATTTCTTGGTTGACGTTTGGAACTGCAAGGGGTCGCTGACGGTTCTCCCGATGCCGGCGGGCCTGGTCCAATTCATCTTCTCGGACCCTTTGGATCGAAAGAAGGTGTTGGCGGTTACTCCCTGGATCATATCCCGATTCATGATTCATGTTCAAGAATGGGAGGAACCATCAGAGGAGGTCGCCCAATCGCTCATAAGGGTGCCGCTTGACGTTCAACTTTGGGATGTGCCCTATGAACGCCTCACCACCCTCATGGCCCGATGCCTTGGTTCAGCAATGGGGGACCTCAAGGATGCTGCTGTCTATGTAGGATCTGAAACTTGCGGTGCTTTCCTCCACGTTCGAGTGGCTCTGGATGTTTCGGCTCCGCTGCCACAGACTGTTTCTGCTTCTCACGTGGCCAACAGTAAGGGTCCTTTCAAAGCTCTGGTTTTGTTTGAACGTCTCCCGTTGTTCTGCTTTTGTTGTGGAGTTATAGGTCACAGTGGTCGTCGTTGTGCTCGTGCATCGGAGTTCGTCGGGAAACCTCTGCCATATGGGAGACATACTGGCACGCTAAAACACAATACCAATCTGCGACCAAGTGTAATCGCAGACCGGGAATGCAGTAAAGTGACAAGTGATATTATCAACCCGGGGTCTAGATCTACTGCTTACTCAGTGATTATCTATTATCTAGCCAACTAAAGTAAGTGATTGTTGTTTTAAAAGCAAAAGCAGAAAGAAAGCAGGAATTGATACGATTTTCTCAAGCAGGTAAGAGTCACTCGGGAATGAGTCCCCCTAGCTCCTTAGTTAGGTTCAATTGCAATTACCCTGGGTTGATTTACTGTTGATTAGACTGCGGAAGATCCGACAGTAGCTTGGAATCTCTTAAGCTGACCAAGCCCTCTCAGTCTAACTACCCGGCAGACGACTAGTCTTCACCGGGATAGAAAGCTGAAGCAGTAAGAACAGAACTCCACTACTGGAATTAGATTCCAGTACAAAGTAGTAAACTGGCTAACTCTCGTATAGCCAATCTCCTACTACCGAATGATGAGACTCTAGCAACCTAATCATATTCTATCTATCTCAGATTGCAGCCGGAATAAGGAAAAGTTGATCAGACTTCAATTGACTCAAAAAACATGCATCATTCGATTAAAATCAAACAGTAATATCATCCCAAGTCATTACAATCAATCCCTAACACATAGAACTAGGGTTCTTCATCCCCAAGTGAGAGAGGGGTTCTACTCCATAGAGAGAGAGAGGAAAACAAGATACAAAGCAGTCATACTCATACTTATGGGAAGAATCTGCTCTGGGATGATGATTTCCACTCCTATGACGATCTCCAAGCTTGATTTGATGAAACCCAGCTCCAAGATAGCTTCTAGGATGTGTTCTTCGTCCTTTCTCTCTCTAGGGCTCTGTTTTTGCTCAAGAAATCCGATTCTCTCCCTTGTGGCTCGAAATTGGCTGAAAAACCAAGATTTCCCGACTCGCACGGGCAGGCCACACGGCCGTGTGGCTCACCCAGTTGCCCGTGCGAGTCAAAACGCGGCGTATCAATTAGTTCGATCTTCAGGCTTCCCGCACGGCCAGGGTCGCACGGCCGTGTGGGATTTCCATCCTGCCCGTGCTTGCTCTCGACGAAAATCACACGGCCACAAATGTGAGTTGCACGGTCGTGTGATGTCCAGGAATGCCCGTGCAGCTTCCTTAACACCTCGCCACGCGTCCGATTTTCGTCCAATCGACCCCAAACTCGCTCCCAAGCCCCCATTCACGTACTAGGACCTGAAATATCACAAACAAGCACAACCTAGCGTGAAATCGGCCTAAAACGCGAGAATCAACACCTCAAACGGTGTAAGAACAGGGGTAAAAATATGTGTAATTAACGGTCTATCAAACTCCCCACACTTAACCGTTTGCTTGTCCCCAAGCAAACCAAGTCAGATACAAGGTAAGCTTACATATTTCAATCAACCAACATTGGGGACAAGCCATAAAGGCACAGAACACGTGAATCGTACTGGTTTTCAAACATCAATACCTGACCAACTTCAATAGCAACCTGGACAACCACCACAAAGGACATTCGAGTGCAGCAAAATCGAGTAAAGGAAGAGTCTCCCTTCTGTTCACCAACCAACCTAGACTTGACTCAACCACTTACTCAAAACAGTCAACTCATGAATCCAACTCAAGACATCAGAATAGAGACCGGGCAATCTAGGTCCTCACCGGGGTACAAGAGTATATAGAATATGAAAATGAATCACTCACTCTCGACCAGTGGGGTCAGGACAATTTGAGGCGAAAAATGCGCATGTTATTTCTCTCAATCCCTAACATCTCTTCACCATGATGGCAGCCTCTAAATGCTAGAGTTCACATATGGGGTGTCACCACTAACTAATCAGGAGGTCTTAGACACAGGTTCAAATGACTGGCTAGGGTCTTGGACATGGGGAAAAGGCCTTTTAGGTGGTGGAAGTATTCATAGCACAAGGTTCCACATTTCCAAACCCACACAATCACAGTCAAACAAACCGGTATTTCCTTTCTGCTATTCTGCATTACTCAATATCTTAAGAGCACAAGAGCGAAGGAGGTATAAATGTCAGCATTTCCAAGCCAGACTGCTAAGAAACACTACTTACTGGGCATTATTCAGATTTTTGGTAGTGGCTCTCTTTGCTTTCAATTTTTCTTTGGTTTTTTCTTTCATTTTCTTTTCATTTCTTAAGAGAGCCACCACTTCTGCACATATTTCAAACACATGCCCAGCCCAACTTTTAAGCACTACCTCCAACACTCACATCAAATTTAGCAGAAACAGCAGAGAATATGTAAAAAACCACTATGTGGAACCTTCTAAAAGATGCAAAAGGGTGATTTTTTTTCATTTCAGACCAAAAGAAAGGATAACACACGGCTCAAAAGGGCTGACTAGGGGATATGACACATCAGGACAGTCAAATTTGGTCGTGGGCTAATCCTATGCCCCCATCATCTTAGCTAGTGACAACGTGAATGCTACACATCATGGAAGAGGGATCTATCGCACAAGAAAGAAACGAGCAGGCTCAAATCTCACATGGCTACCTATATACTCTATCTCACATTCTGATACCCTGAACTAGATGCAAAAAACGAATGTCAAGAACAAGTAATCAATCCAAGTCACAGTTGGTAAGCAAACAGTTGAAAAACTGAACCCCTACACAATTCTACTGCACGTCTCAGTCCTCATCATAGGTTGTCCTAGTCGCAATCAAGCTGTCATGCATCAATCCGAAAACCATTCAATTCACCAATCAAAACACAATGCCAATATGATCAAACAGCATTACTTGGAGCCCTCAAATCGTAATATTCGGACAGCGGACTAGGCTCCAAGCACCCAAATATATATTCCACCGATACAAAGCACCCCCCCACACTTAAGCACGACATTGCCCTCAATGGAGCAGAGGGAGAGATAAGGGGAACGATGTTACCGGATTGAAACTGCTGGGGGACTGGAAGTGGACCAGTCAGCGAGAAACAAACGGGAAGATGTACCGTTCTACACCAATTGAACACCAAGAACACACTAGCACACGTTGTGTTAGGGATAAGTGTTAGCCCAGACGGCTACAACAAAAACAATCCACAAAAGAAAACCAAAAACAAAAACAAACGACACTAAGTTCAAGCTCCTCACACATGGAGCAAACACACAAAAGTCTAATACGGAAAACAAAACACACTGAGATGGGCAACGAGTAGAGCCTACTCGTCGCCAAGATTATCCAGGTCGATGTCATCCATGAAGGCGTCATCACCATCAGCACCATCATCACCATCAGCTGGGGGAGGTGGAAGTGGAGAGTCCTCCCAGGGAGTCCTCCAAACGGGCTGCTCGCCCGGTAGCAGCCGGAGTAAATGCTGCTGGACCTCTTACATGCACCGTGAACGACGCCTCTCTCGCTTGATGTGTGCGAGAGTCACTCCCTGCTGGGTCTGGATCTGGTCCAATCTCTCATCGTAAACATCCATCCTCTGGTGGTACCCGGCCTGGTGAGCAGCGTACTGCTGCTGGAACTGCATCTGATGGTCGAGGATCTGCTGGTTCTGGAGACGCAGCTACTCGAACTGGGAGGTGAAGTAATCCTGCCCCGGGAAAGCGGAGCTGCCACCTCCGTAATGGAAGTGAGTCTGTGGTGGATCAACAGCAGCATCCACATCCTCGGGCTCCACATGAACAGCAGCCACATCCTCTGGCTGGTCCTCCTGCTGGTCCTCCGCGGGGATCTGAGGTTCTGGAAACCCCTCGATCCATAGAATGTCGCGGTTCTGTCGCAGCAGGTGCATGTGACTGATCGTCGACCTGCCAAAAACGATGGTGTCCCCCTGCTGTGTGCACCCCTGCAAGGAAAGGCCGAAGTAGGTGGCCAGGCGGGTGATGAGGGGGGTGTAGTGGAGACTCTTCAGTTCCGAAGCAGCCTTCTCGAAGGTCCTGGCCACCACCGAACCCAAGTGGAGGGGATGGTTGTCCTGGCGGATCGACTGGAGGAGGTACAGGGCCCTCTTAGTGATGGCGCTGGCACTGTCTAAAGCTGGAGTATAAGACTTTGCCAGCAGGTGGTGGAGAAGGCGGTTGTCGAGCTGCAGTGTAGTGGTCTTCGTCCTCCCGGCCGAGAAGGGACGTGTCTGGCCTGGCCAGGTGGGTGTACAGCCTCCTGAAGTCCACCTCCGGCGGGTCGCTGACCTCGGTGACGTAGTCCAGACCGTCGTCGAGGTCGAGGTGAGAGCCTCGGCCAGCTCGTGGTAGCTCATGGACCGTGGGGCACCGCCTAGCCTGAATTTGACGGCTGCACCGTCTCTCCATTCGTTCGTGGGTGTGTGCTTGAAGGTCGTGTAGAACTCCAGCACGGGCTCATAGTAAACCTTCTCGCAGATGGAGAGCAGACGACGCCATGGTTGGTTGGTGACGGCGGCGGAGAGTGGCTCGTAGCAGTGCAATTCCCGAAACTCCCGTTTGGACTAGCAATGGTGCTGCCCAAACGGGCATTTCAGGACCTGCTTGAAGCGATCCTGGGCGGGCCCCCTCTTCAAATCCCGGATGAACGGGTGCTTGAGGTCAGGTTTCGACATTGTCCAGCAAAAGAATAACCCAAAGTGGAACCAAAAGAGCCAAAGAAAGGGTCAATTACACCCCCACACTTAAGAACTGAAAACAGCCGAGCCATGGTTTCATCCATAGTTCGGGGGTCAAAAACTCGATAAATCAAGCATAATCTGAGTGGGGGTGCACATTCACGATAAAGTAGGCAACTTAAGGTTCACATCCATAGCAAACACACCCTCAAAGCACATCAATAAGGGTCACAACCGGTGCCCACAACATAGCATGAAAAACAGGCATTTCATCGAACACCTTGTGTGCACTATTAAGGTAAGCATGAAATTGGCACAATTCTTGCACACAAGGGCTCAAACAATCAAGAGGGACTTTGCCCAACACAATTCAAACACACTCCATGCATTCCCCTCAATCAATTGCACAAAAATCACAAGATTCAATGAGGTTCTCTAAACATGCACCCTAACACCCAATTCTCCACAATTAACATAGTTAAGGGTAAAATCAAACCTGGAGACTCAAGTAGAGGTGTAGGGGATGATGAGGGGAAGGCGATGAAGCGACGAAACGCCGAAAAAGTGCCCGGAAGTGCTCGTCGGAGCCTCGCCGGAGTCTCGCCGGAAATCGCCTCCGGCGACCAAAACCTCTGCCAAATCTCCTCAAAATGGAGGGATAGGCCGCTTTTGGTGTAGAAAGGGTGGGTTTGTTGTTGGTTTGGTGGAAAAATGACAAAAAATGGCCGAAAAAATCGAAATGGGGGGTTTTGTCGCGGTTTTCCGGCGAGGTTCAGAGGATTCCGGCGAGGATTTTTCAAAATTATGACCACTCGGCCGTGCTGGCCGAATATATAGGCCGTGGCTCGGCCACACAGGCAGGCTCGCACGGCCGTGCGAGGTGCAAGTTTGCCCGTGTGGGCCGACACGGCCAGGCCGAGGAAATCCACACGGGCGTGCGAATTGCACTTTTGGCCGTGTGGAATTTGTCGAGGGCTCACACGGCCAGGGGATAAAATCCACACGGCCGTGCGAGAGTATGGCCTGGCCGTGTGAGCTGCTGGAGCCCCGAATTCAACCTGTTTTCATCCAAAAACGACATTCGACTCTGGAACAACATCTCAAGACTCAAAAACACAAAAAAAAACAAAAGGAAAAATGTAAGAAAATGCAAACCTTGGTGGGGTTGCCTCCCCACAAGCGCTTCTTTACCGTCTTTTAGCTGGACGCCAGTCGGTGGATGCTCAGTGAGGTGAAGGAGCAGGTGCCTTCAAGAGCGGATCCACCTCGCTCTTGAGGTACAGCTTCAAATGGTGGCCATGCACACGCCGAATGTGGCCACCAGCATTTGCCAACTCAACTTGGCCATCCGGCAGGATGCAAGCGAGTGAATACTCGGATGGCCAAGGTGGGGGCGGGACCAGCTCATAATGGTCTCCGGCTTTCTTTCGAGCAGGCTTAGCTGCCTGCTGTTTCGGCCGCCACTCCTCCCTGATTTGTTCCTTCGATAACGGAGTGGACGGGAGTGGCGGCGAAGGTATGGGAGGCGGATCCTGCAAAATAGGCAACACAGAAGGATACACGACAGACTCGTGCTCCTGGTGAGATACAGCATGCAGAGGTGACAAAGCAGGACGAGTATTAGAAATTGAAAACGCTATTCGCTCCTCACCATCCCTCAAAACTAAGGTCCCATCATGCACATCTATGAGGGCCTTGGCGGTGGCCAGGAAAGGCCTTCCCAGTATCAATGGCACATTCACATCCTCATTTATGTCCAAAATCACAAAATCAACCGGATAATTGAATTTGCCAACCTTAACCAGAAGGTCTTCCACTATGCCCCTAGGATGCACTACAGATCGGTCAGCTAATTGAAGGCTCATCCTAGTAGCACGGGGTTCACCTAGGCCTAGTTTCTTAAACAGTTTATATGGCATAACATTTATACTAGCACCTAAATCCGCCAAGGACCTCTCTACATGCAAATTTTCTATAGAGCACGGGATAGTAAAACTACCTGGGTCCTTCTGCTTCTGCGGAAGCTTGTTCTGCAGAATGGCCGAGCACTCCTCGCTGAGCTCCACAGTGGCTAGCTCGCTCAGCTTCTACTTCTTTGAGAGAAGGTCCTTCAGGAACTTCGCATACTTAGGCATTTGAGATAGTGCCTCCAAGAAAGGTACTTGGACATTCAGCTTCCTAAGCATCGCCATGAAGTTCTCGAACTCTGCCTCCAGCCTGTCTTTGTGCAACCGAGTAGGGAAGGGGAGTTTAGGGATATACTCCTTCACTACTGGTTGCGGTTTAGGTGCAGGCACCTCAACCTCCTTCTCTGCTTCTTCTTCAGCTGCTGGAGATGCCGAGGCAGGGGCCTCTCTCTCTTGTGCCCGAGTAGGTGGATCAACAGTCATCTTGCCACTCCTGGTCATGATGGCATTGCAGTGCTCATTCGGATTCTGAGGGTGAGGGATGGTCTGACCGGGCAAAGTACCAGGAGCCCTTTGTGCCACTGCTTGAGCCACACTCCCCAGCTGGGTTTGGATATCCTGCAAGACAGCCTGTGTGTTCCTCTGGCCAGCTTCAAGAGCCAGGAATTTACCCGATGCCTTTTCCATGAACTGCTCGATAGTGTTAAATTTTTGAGCACTAGAACTGGCGAGAGAACCCACCAATTCCCGCAGTTCAGCCACTGGCAGAGCATCGCCTGCTGCTGTCCGGTCCCTGGAATCATCCCGGAACGATCGATAGCTGAAACCAGCTTCGACACCACCTGCACCAAATCAGAGGAATGGTTTCCCACAGAAGGTACACCTCGGCTTGGTGCTCTCCTCGACCTCCTCGCAGTGCCCCAATCATACCCGTTCTCTGCCATCTCCTCAAAGAGTTGATTCAGCTGTGGCGGTGTTTTAGGCAGCATGTTCCCGCCACAAACTGAGTCAATCAGCTGCTTATCTTTTGGGAAGAGGGCATGATAGAAGGTTTCCACCTTGAAAGCATCGTTGAAACCATGATTTGGACACCTGAGGAAAAGACTGGTGTATCTCCCAAGCATCCCTAATGGTCTCATCCTCGTCCTGAGCAAAATGGGTAATTTGCTTCTGCAGGTCAGCTGTCTTGGATGGAGGATGGTAGCGGGTGAGGAACTTGTCCGCCAGGTTGGCGAACGTGGTGATAGAGCCCGGAGGTCGAGTGTCTAGCCACTCCTTGGCTTGCCCCTCCAGGGTGAATGGGAAGTATCTCAGCTGGATGGCATCTGTTGGGACCCCATTGATCTTGATTCCATCAATGAGCTCATGGAATCGCCTGAGATGTGATCGGGGGCACTCCCCCTCTTTGCCACGGAACATCACTGAACCGCGCAGCATGGTGATTACTGAGGTGCTCACCTCAAAATTATTGGCTGGGACATGAGGGTGTTGAATGGGTGACCTCATGTCTGCAGCCCTGGCGGTCCAGTAATGTCCCATGGTCTGCTCCTCGGGATCGACCACAACATGGCCCTGTGGATCAGCCATCTCCTCTTCTTCAGTGATCTGTAGCTGTGCTAGCGCCTCCTCCGCAGCCAGTCGCGCCTTTAGAGCCCGCTTGAAGTTTCTGCAGGTTCGTTCAAGCTCCTGGTCTAGTGGTAGTAGATCTCCCGACTGGCTACGGGTCATGCACTACCTGCACACAATCAGCAGAAGCAACCGGTGAAGGCACACAGGTGGAAGAGATAAAATGCAGTAAATAAAAAGCTAGAGTAACAAATTCTCACGTTTCCCCAATAACCTAGAAGTTCCCCGGCAACGGCGCCAAAAACTTGACATGCTAAAACACAACACCAATCTGCGACCAAGTGTAATCGCAGACCGGGAATGCAGTAAAGTGACAAGTGATATTATCAACCTGGGGTCTAAATCTACTGCTTACTCAGTGATTATCTATTATCTAGCCAACTAAAGTAAGTGATTGTTGTTTTAAAAGCAAAAGCA